GGCCAAAAAAGTCACTTCTATTAGGAAGCAAACTCATGGAACTTACTAACCCTAGGCTAAAAGTATGAATAGCTTTAAAAAAAAAAAACCAAAAAAAAAAGGCTTCTCTGTAACATGCTAAAAACAAAATTTTTAATGTGTTTGTATCACTGAAAAAAAAGGCTCTAAATCAATTCACATATGACAAGTTTGAGGAGTTACTTCAGAATATAACCTAAAACTCTGGAATTGACTTAGGAGGCCAATGATGCCCTTTTACAGTTTCTTGGTGTCAACGTTGAAAAAATACGTTTATGTTTTTCCAGGTATAGAGCAAACTCAAGAACACAGGCTTTGAAACCAGACAGTTCTGGTTTTAAACCTCAGCTTTGATCTTACCTGCTATGTGACCTAGCTTAAATTACTTGTTCTCTTTGCCACAGTCTCTTCATCAGTGGCGTGGGTATTAATGACTCCCTCGCAGTGTTGCTGAAAAGCTTAATGAGAGACTACGCGTAAAGTGCTTAGCACAGTACCTGGCACGCGGCAAATACTCAAAACAAAACAGAACTGGTGGCTACTATGCTATGTTCTAACCAGAAATGAAGTGATCCACAGAAGATTATTTTCGTACTTCTCCAACTCGTTAGCTGGAGAGCATAATCGTATCATGGCTATTAACAAGCAGAACAGTATATAATTACTTGGGGGAGGGGGAAAACTTCCCTGCCTCGCCCCAGAAAAGGCAAGCCAGCAGACACTGCCGGTTCTCTGAAATTATTCCCATCCATGACAGCTCCCAAGGAACACAAAAGCACATGTGAAGGGCATTTCCCCCTGCCCAAAGAGGGGCCGCGGAAGCCTTGGCCCACAGTGCTGGACGCGGGAATGACAGCAGAAATTGTCCTCACCTCCTCACCTCCCCTCAGAGCCCACCGGCTCCCCGCCGCCCCTTCAGAAACGAGGGGAGCAGACGCGGCTGAGCCGCCGGCCCTCCTCGAGGACTAAGGGCTGGAGCACAGGCGCAGAAACACGAGCCCGCTCGCAGTCCTGGCGGGCAGCACTCCCGGGCAAGCCGCCTGCGGCCCCGGCAAGGTACCCAGGAAATGTCACTGCCAGGAAAGTGACCCCGAACTGGGCCTAGAGACCCGTCACACCTCGCCCACAGAAGCCAGGTCGCCTATCTCGCCCTTTCTCCTGCTGACCCTCGAGGCGAGAGCGGGCTGGAAGGCAATACCTGCGCAGCAGCCTGCAGCGCCGTCCGAGGCCTGTGGCTCCGAATGGTGGCGGCGGCCAACAGCCGGCTGTAGACCATGGACGCCGCCATTTCTGAGTCCAGCCCCGTCCCTTCGGCGCCGCGCGCAGGCGCAGAAGGGCAAGGCGGCCCACGGCGCTGCAGGCCTTGGAGCGCTCACAGCTCCACGCCCCACCCACAAAGGGGCGGGGCTTAGAGTTAACCCTGCCGCTGCGGTACTGATGCCCTGGCCGACAAAGGCAAGAACTGCCTGGCTGACTCTAAGCCGGGCCTGGCGGGCGCAGAGCCAACTTTGACCTTTGAGGTGGCACTGCAGCCTCAATATCTGACATGTGGCCAAAAAGCAATCTGAACACTTCCTAGCGAATTGCAATGGAAAGGCGACCAGTGCTGTCACTTGTGTGATCTTAACTTCTCTAAGCTTCAGATAGCTCATCTGTAAAATGGGGTTCGTTCAAGAAATGATGACTGGACGTCTGCTTTGTGCCAAACACTGCATTGAGCCTTTGGGATACAACGGTGAATAAAACAGCATTTACGACGTTCAAAGAGAGAACCATGAGACAATAGTTACCAAAGCTGAAGGCATGCCGCTGGAATCACCCATCCCCAGGCCCCATCTGAGGGGTGGAGTCAGCACATCTATTTCTTAGAGGTCTCTAGGTGGATCAGATGCGTACAAAGAGCGTTGACAACCCTGAGATGACAAGCGCCCCAACACAGAATTGACCACTGGAACAAATGACTGGGTGCCGACTCTGCTCGGTAGATCGAGCTTTAAAATGTGTGGAAGCGATTTCAGTGGGCAGTATCTTAACCTAGAAATAGGTGGCCGTGGCTGACAAGCATTAGCCAAGCTCTGGCACCTACTTTTGATGCACAGTGGCCTGATCCAGGAACAGCACCGTGTAAAGAAAAAGTGAATCTAAGACAAGCAGCCTATCGATTTAGGGAATGGAATGGGACTTTTTGCAACTCCCAAAATCTCTTGAGTTCTTAAAGGCAGGACCTTCTTGTGGACTTTTTAGTTCCATTGGCACTAGTGGAGGACTGACCTCAAGGCTCCTTTCACCACTAATAAATACTCGCTGCAGTTAGAAACAGGGAGAGAGAGAAACAGACATCGGTAGTTCAGATGTCTCTTGCTCTGCCTCCTACTGACCATCATAACCAATCAGATAAGATCTGGACAATTTGGCTAAACAGCCAGGGTGTGTCCTACCAACTTCTACTGGGAACACATATGCCATCAGCTATGAATAGAGCATACTGATTGTCAAGCCAGCTCTCTTCTTAAATCAATAAGATAGTCATTGAGCTACCATGTACAGCCAATCATCTGAGCCCAAGACCATGTATTTAAAGGACACATGGGTAAACCCAGAATAAATCAGTGTACTAAAATGAGGTGTAAAGATAAAGCCCTGCTAGGGGCCAGACTGAGTTATCTTTGATTGGCACTCCTCAAATCCTGGTCACGTAGGTGGCCAACTGTTCAAACCGTGTTCAAACAAGGCAAACTCAAGCTTTGCCAATCCAGCTTTTTCTGTACCACACTTCCCTTTTCTGTATGTCACTTTCCTTTCTCTGTTCATAAATATTATCCAGCCTTGTGGCATGTGCCCCCACCCCCAAGGGTTGCTCTGAACCTGTGCTGCTTCTGGGGGCTGCCTGATTCGCAAATTGGGAATCATTCTTTGCTCAGTTAAACTCTGTTAAATTTAATTTGTCTTGAATTTTTCTTTTAACATGTCAATAGATGCCACCTTAATTGGATAACACCTAGGACTAGATGTTCCCTTTGATCTATCACTACATATATTTCCTGACTCTAAGGTGGATCTAAGGAGAGCATAGATCCTGATTTAACAGAGGTTAAGTTTCTTAACACTTGGTGTAAGAAGGGTTAATACTGCAATTCAAATTCAGGTGTAAAAAATAGGTCATGTTTCTCATACATGTGAATATATGGAATGAATTTAGTATCACTGCACCACTGGCTCTCAACCCAGGAAAGCTTTTAAAAAAATATCTGTGCTTGGGCCCCACAACCAAAAACTAATTCAATTGTCTAAGGTGGGACCTAGAGTAGTACTTTGTAAAAATTGCCCTAGTATTTCTAATGAGCACCCAGGGATGACAACTACTCCTGTTTTGCTCTTTCTACTATCCTCTCTGTCTTATTGGAGAGGAACAGTCAGTAAGGGAAGAGGCAGCCACCATGAATGAGCATTGGATTTAAAGTCAGTAGACCTGGATTTAAATTACAGATCCACAACATGCTAGCTCTGTGGTCTTAAGCAATTCACCTATCCAGTCTGAGTCTTTTCAGGTTCCACATTTATAAAAATGGGTGTATTCACTTCCTAAAGCTGCCATAACAAATTGCCACAAACTTGGTGGCTTAAAACAACAGAAATTTATTCTCTGACAGTTCTGAAGGCCCCAAATCCAAAATCATTATCACTGGGCCAAATTCAAGGTGTCAGCAGTGCCATGCTCCTTCTGGAAGCTTTAGGAGAGTATGTGTTCCTTGCTTTTTCCAGCTTCTGGTGACTGCTGGCATTCCTTAGCTTGGAGCCACATCACTTTAATCAATGCCTCCATGGCCACATTGTTCCTTCTCTTCTGTCTGTGTCAAATCTCCCTGTGCTGCCCTGTTATACATGTGACTGCACTTAGGGCCCACCAAAATCCGGGATAACATCCTTATCTCAAGATCCTTAATTTAATCACATCTGCAAAGTCCTTTTTTACTATATAAGGTAACATTCACAGGTTCCAAGGATTATGGCCTGGGTATCTTTCAGTGGTCCTTATTCAGCCTGCCACAAGGGGGCTAATAATGAATGCCCTGACCACCTGACCACAACGTCATAGTTAAGAACAAGTAAGATAAGTATGTAGAAGCACCTTAAAATGTTACACAAATGCAAGCTACATTATGACTGCTTTCCGTGATTCAGCTTTCAAAACCCCCAGTGACATGCTATGACCCTTGCAGCCCTGGTAGCTTCCCATCTGCTCTCCCAGAACATCTCCCTTGAGGTAGAGCCAGGGCCTCCCCAAGTCTATCCAGTCCCTTGTGACAATTAAAAGGAGAATTGACCCCTTTTCTTAAGACATTGTACTTCTAGCTGTTGGAAAATTGACAAAATATATTCTAAAACCTCTCAAAAAATTTTTTGTAAGAGGAATTGAGCAAGTAAGTAAATATCTTAAGAATAGTAGGAGGCAGGTTTCTCTCTATCAGTAAAGGAAATTACAAATATGGAAAGAGAGAAAGTTAGAATTAGCGCTGTGGTGTTCTACAGGAATTAAGTATTAGTGTAAACTGTTGGTTTTCAGTATATAGAGATAGATATAGAAATAAATATAGATATTGTATTAGTCAGGGTTCTCCAGAGAAACAGAATCAGTAGGATGTATATACAGAGAGAGAGTTTTATTTTAAAGAATTGACTCACATGATTATGGAGGTTGGCAAGTCCAAACTCTGCAGGGTGGGCCAGCAGGCTAGAGACCCAGGGAAGAGCCAATGTGCAGCAGGAGTCCTAAGGCCATTAGGCTGGAGAACTCCCTCTTGCTCAAGGGAGGTCAGTCTTTCATTCTGCACAGCCCTTCAACAGATTGGATGAGACCCACTGACCTTATGGAAGGCAATCTGCTTTACTCAAAGTTCGCCAATTTAAATGCAAATCTCATCCAAAACACCCTAACAGAAACATCCAGAATAATGTTTAACCGAAAATCTAGGTCCAGCCAGCTTGACACATAAAATTAACCATCTCAGGTGTACCTATTTGTGCTTGTTCGCTTTGTCCACTAAGAGGGCCTGGGAGCAGAAACCTCTAATAGCAATGAGCACACTTAGTGCCCAGATCTTGAAGTCTAATTACCAGTTTCTGCTAAAAGGAACTAGAGCTTTTTGGAGAGATGGCTGATTACAGGATCGGGCAGGGAAAATACGAGATGAGCCTAGAATAGCTTGTTGAGCCCAAAAGTAAGGATGTGCTCAAAGAATGATAGGGATGTGTCGAAAATATATAGAAGCCCGTTTATAAGAGGCTCCCATTGGCCAATTATGAGACAATTTGAGCAACGAAATAAATAATAGTGGGGTACTGCCCTGCTCCCATTGTTATCAGAACCACACGGGGGTTTCGGCCTGTGTCTAGTCACTCACTGCACAAAGATCCAATTATTGAGACAACAGGGATTGCCAAGGAAGAAAGGAATTTTTTTATTATGAAAGATGTTCACTGTAAGAATGGAAAATGGGTCTCAAACCCATTGTCCCTAACAGAGATCATGGGCTTTTCAAGGAGGAGCCATGTGCATTCGGGCAGGTGGTGGGGAATGGTGAGTCTTCGTGTCAGGAAGTGTGCCCAGGGGCCATCAGAATCTCTACTCTTTTGTCTTCCAGAAATTCTGTCATTTCTGGAAAACAATTTAGTAAAATCATCAAGCCCTACTGGCCTGAGAATCTAAAACATGAGAGAAAGGATTATAAAAACCCATAGGGGTCATTGAAATTCATTCATAGATCCAGTTACACCATTCTCCATATCTGATCACCCTTGATACCTAATCTAATCTAACCTCACCTGCCACCTTCCTCCAGGTGAAGTCTAATCATCCTGGCCTGTCTTTGGCAAGAATCCTGTTAGGTTGATCTGGCCAGAATCTCCCCTTAACCCCACTATTTCCTCTTAGTAATTTTTCATCTACTGACTTGTAGCCTGCTCCTTGGCTATAAATTCCCACTTGTCTATGCTGTATTTGTAATTGAGCCATTTCTATACTGAGATCATTTTTCTCCTGTTGCAATAGTCCTGAATAAAATCTGTTTTTACCACCTAAACTACCATCCAGATCTGATTTTTCTTTGATGCCTGCCCTGTGATCTGGAAGATAAAAAATGTCCCATTCTTCAGAGACATTGTCCAAAGAGAATGGAATATTTAGATGAAAGTAGATGTTGCGTATAGATAGAGCTGGAGCCCATTCTACTAAGCGAAGTATCACAAGAAGGGAAAAACAAGCACCACATGTACTCACCATCAAATTGGTATTAACTGACTTAACTGACCAACACTTGAGTGCATATATAGTAGTAACACTCATTGAGTGTTTGGCAGGTGCGGGGCGC